AGCATCTTTACTTTTAACTAACTAGTATCTAGTTAAATAGGAAGCTCTGGGAGTAGAAAGCATTAAATAACAATTTATAAGCTGGATATGGTGGCATACTATGGGAAATAGGACACTTGGGAAGGAGGACTGCAAATTTGAGCATAGTCTGGAGAACTTAGTGATTTAGTAAGACCCCGTCTCAAGAAAAACAAAAGTGCTGAGGATGTAACTCAGTACAAAGGTCTTAGGTTCAATCCTAAATGCTGAGGAAAAAAATCATAAAATGGGCTTTTTTTTGTTTTTGTCCAAAAATGACTAAAATATTCCAAAATTGAAACATATTTGTTCATTCATATTTTGACAAAGAGTCTTGCTATGTAGTTCAGGCAAGCCTTGAACTCACTATGTGGCCTAAATTAACCTCAAACTCATGGTGATCCTCCTACCTCAGCCCCTAAATTCTGGGATTACAGGTGTATGCCACCACACCCAGCTTCAGACCTTTAATTTTTATAAGACTCATATGATCAATGTTTAGTTTTCATCATCATCAGCTTTGGTGAGAATGAGAGAGGGAGCTGGAGTGGCCAGTCATAGAAGGGCAGTGAACAGGAAAAGAATTTAAACAAATGGACAAATGGAGAAGTATTATAAAGGTGATACTGAGCTGAAAGAATAGGTAACTGGGAATGCTAGCAAACCTATAGAGCTAAGTTGTGGAATAGAAGCTGGACCAGCAGAGTCTGCCTCCCATGTGTACTCCATAGGATCTTCCTCTACAAGGAAGTTCAGGGTGGTGAGTTCCCTCACTTTGATTCCACTCCTTCTCTGTCTCTTTCTCTTTCTCTTTCTCTTTCTCTTTCTCTTTCTCTTTCTCTTTCTCTTTCTCTTTCTCTTTCTCTTTCTCTTTCTCTCTGTCTCTGTTCTCTTGAGATCTTGTCATCCTCCAGCACACTGTCTTTGGGTCTCTGAAGTGTGATGTATCCTCACCCGGATACTGAGATTGTTACTAGTAAGCCAAAGGTCGAAAGAGACTCCAAATGAATGTAAATTCTCAGTGACTTCCTGCTTTTTCCACCAGGTGGCACTCATATTCAAAAGACTTAAAACAACTAAAACTAAGACTAAGTTGGTAATTTAGCAAAGAAATACTCAATGCAATAAAATAAAATAAATTTTACAAAAAGAAATACTCAATGCAGTGGGCCTGGTGGGACACACTTGTGATCCCAGTACTCAGGAGACAGAGGAAGGATTGCAGCAAGTTCAAGGCCAGACTACACTCCATAATGAACTCAAGACCAGCTTCAATTTCAGAGCAAGAGCCTGTCTAAAAAGAAAAAAAAAAAAAGAAACAAAGTTAATGCTATAACTTGTTATATATAAACCATCACAAATACAAACTCATTAAGAGATAACTGTAAACACATATATCTTAAACCTTGTCAACTAATCAATAGTTGTTTAAAAAATGAAAAGTGGAGTTTCTTATAGTAATGTAGGAATTTTTCAGCAAAGCAGGGGTATGATCAATCTACAAAATCAAGATAGGTCAAACCATGATAGGCATAACAGAAAAATGATTAACTCATTAATCAGTATTGATTGATGAGTTAATCAATCAATGTGAACATTCTTTTAAACCTTAAAATGGGTAAAGATGTAAAAATGGTCTTTATTACCATTGAAGGTCCTGCCAAGTACAAGTACAAAAACTTTTTAATTCAACAAATTGAGGTACACTTATGCATGAAAGGTTTATCAGTAAACATTAAAACAAATGAGAGTTGCTTGAGAGATCTCTGAACTCTGAATATGACATTAAAGGAAACAGCTGTTTCCATTTTTTTAGCAGCTGACAGATTTTCTGCAAAGGAACAGATAGCAAATATTTTTAGGCTTACAAATTATATAATCTCTGTTATATATTTTCTATATGTATATATTATATCATATAATCTCTGGACTGTGCTATAGCAAGTGTAGTGTGAAGTAGATGACCATGAAAAACAGGTATGGCAGTGTTTCAACAGAGTCTTATTTACAAGAGCAGGTGTTTAGGGCCAGGGAGATGGCTCAGTAGGATAAGTGCTTCCCTGGCAAGCACAAGGGCCTGAGTTTAATCCCCAGTTCCACCAAAAAAAAAAAAAAAAAAAAAAAAAAAAAAAAAAAAAAAAAGAAAAGAAAAAAAATTTTTATGGGGCTGGAGAGATGGCTTAGTGGTCTAAAGCACCTACTTAGAACAAGCTTAGCAAAGCACAGGGACCGCGGTTCAATCCCCCAGCACCACATGCCAGTCAGCCCCGCCCCCTGGTGGGCTGAGCTGGCCACACACACACACACACACACACACACAAATAAAATTTTAAAAAAAGAAGAAAAGCTTTAAAAAAAAAAAAAAAGAGCAGGTGTTAGGCAAGATTTGGCTTGTGCGCCAAAGCTTGTCAATCCCTGATTATGAGTGGATGCTGGAGTCCATAGATACTTCCCTTTCTAGGTTTTAGTCATTGACTTGTCAAATAAGGAAATTGGGTTAAATTCATATTTCTCAGGTTTTGTTTTCTTTAATATCTCTCATAAGCTAAGTGATCCAGCGGAGATTGACATTTTGTTTTCTATGTGTAAATTCAAATTTTTTAAAATCCAGCTTGAATAAATTTGTAAGTCTGTAGGACAGAGGTTCATAGACTTGGTGCTGTTGACATTTTAGTCTGGATACTCCTTCCTTTGGAGGGCTAGGGGGAGCTGTTGTGTGTAGAGTAGGATGCTAATTGCAAACATGCAACAATTTGTATGACCAACAGTGTCTCTAGGCATTGCCAGATTTCTCCTGGAATCAGCAAAATCACCCATGGTAGAGAACCACTGCTCTAGGGACTTTCAGAATGTCTAAAAGAATCACAAAAATGCAAATCAGACTGTGTACCTCAGGACAAGTGGGAAAATAATAAACATACTCCTTTAGACACAAAGGCAAAAAAGTCAAAAAGCAAGAGGAAAAGCGAGGTTATAAGAAAGAGGTCAGTTAGACTGACATTCATCCGTTCAAGGGCATGAGAGAGTTGGTAGGAGATTATTATTTAATATCAATTCAGATGAATTATAAATGTTTCTGGATCCAGTGAATCCCAGTAAAGGCAATCAATAAGTGAGCAGATGAAAAGTCAAACTAAAACAAGGAAATACGGGTGAACAGTGTTATTTAATATCGAACAATATTAAGTAACGCTATTTACTTTTTACTTCTATCATTTGAGACCTCGACCAGAAGTTCAGTCTAATGAGTTCATTAGTCTTTATAAGGCGCAGAGGTTTTTGTTTTTCTTTAAATTTTGTTTTGCTTTAAGTGAATAAATCACATGTAGCTTATTTCTACAGTGGAATATTATCTAGTGGAGAAAATGAATTCAGTATGGTTCTTCCAGCTGCAGAGATATATCTTTAAAGCTAGGTTTTCAGTGTTAGTAAAGTTGGTACTTAAAGTACAGATCATTTAGCTTCTTAGGATTGAGCTAGAATTAAAAGCCAAAATCATCTTGATTCAACTAAAATAAACATGTATTTGATTTCCATACATCCTTTTATGCCCATGTTATGTTTTGAAAACCCATCCTGTTTCAATTACAAACTTTTTTTGGGGGGGTGGTCACTCAGGATGCCTTCAGGGCAGCTCTGGTTTGGCTTGAGGATGAGGGGATCAAACCACAGCATCCTGAGTCTGTCTGCTTTGTTTCAGCAGGCACTTAAACACCTGAGCTAATGGGCAGGCCCCCTAAACGTTATTATTCATAGCTGAAAAATTCTGAATATCTAGGTGGCTTTAGAAAAAGTTTTTCTGTTTTTGTTTTTTATTGCTTTCATATTGTTTTCATTCTTACTCTCCTACCAGTGACTTTAACATAGGGTGATATAGACTGTACCTTTGACTTGTTCTGGGATCAGGGATGGGTCTCTTTGTCCAGTTGAGGAAATAGTTTGTTCATTTGTAAGATATGGGAAGATTTCCAAACTCTGGTTTCAGAAAGCCTGAAAGGTTTTTTTGTTTGTTTGTTTTGTTTTTTTGCGGCCTGAAGATGCCTTGAGGGCATTTCTGGTTTGGCATGAGTATCTGGGTTTGAACCACAGCATCTTGAGTGTGAGTGCTTTGTTTAAGCAGGCACTTAAACAACTGAGCTAATGGGCAGGCCCCCAGAAAGCTTGAAAAAGAACCATGTTTTAAGGGCTGGCAAGATAACTCAGTGGACTAAACGCCTGCTTAGGCAAGTGCAGGGACCGGGGTTCGATCCCTCAGCACCACATGCTGCACTGGCTCTACCCCAAGTGTGCTGAGCCGGCCACCAAGACCTGGTGTGGTGGCACACACCTGTAATCCTTGTGCTGGGGAGGATGGAAACAGGAGGATCACTATGAGTCTGAGCTGCATAGTGAGACCGTGTGCAAAAAAAAAAAAAAGGAGGGGACCATGTTTGAAGCCTTGTTTGAACTTCAAGTTTCTGGGTCCCAATTCCAGATTCTGACACATTTTAGTCTCAGAAGGTGACTCCAGTACACAGCCATGTTTAGAACCATTGGAGATGAACTCTGAGGTCCTTTCAGCTCTAAAATGCAGTGATTATATATATATATATATATATATATATATATATATATTTCTTTAAATGTCCTTGATTAGAATGCTTTCTGGAAAATGTTTTTTATCTTATAAGAAATGATGGAGCATAATACATCGTAACACAGCACACTCACATTGATAAAGTATACATAAATTTGGTTTGCTATAAGATGATCAGCTTGTAGCTTGTGATAATCATCATGATCCCCAATATGTGTTAGAAGATTTCCCTTTGAAATCTTTGACTAAAAGGCAGTCATTTTATAGCTTCTATGTTTTCAGCCTTCAATTTAGAGAAGAATTATAGGTTGATATCCTGATTTCCATGTAATCATAAAATGGAATAAAATTAGAAATTTTGTCTGGTTGTTAATTTCTGTTTATTTGTTTTTTCTTTAATTTGCAGAATGCTCTTTTCAGTTGCATTAGCAGAAATGAAAGTAAGTATATTGTCTGTGATTATACAGAGAGCGACACAGTTTACAGAGCCTGATTAGCTGTTAGAAATACTGCCAAGATCTGGCATTGTAATTTAGGCTGTTAATAAGCCATGTGAAAGAGTGTGCACAGCAGGATTCAGTTGAGCTCTTTCCTCTGGGTTGTTCAAGTCATTCATGTATTATTACAGTTCCTACTTCTAATTGCGGATTTCCAGAGCAGACACAAGAGCTAGATGTGCTAGAGGAGGACACTTAACACCGTAATAATAGAATCACTTTCAGATGTTGAGCACATTATATAATGTGCACTTGACAAAGGCTGCCTTTCACGTCATTTAGAAGACATTTATTGAGTATTTGCTTGTTGTGGGGCAGACACATAGCTGTGGGGAACATGACCTATACTCTTGAGAAATCTAGGACATGGTAGATTATGAGATAACACACTGGGACAGTTCAGAAGAAGAGGAATCGCTTCCTGCAAGGGTGCGGAGAGGTGACTTCCTGGAGCCTGTGGCTCAGCTGGGCCTTGCACGGAGACTGTATGTGAACAGTGGAGACTGGAGGAGGGGCACTCCAAGTGAAAGGATAGTGAGAGCACTTAGAGATGGAAAAATAACACTGAGGAACAAATAGTTGTTTAAATTAGTTTGGCAGCAGGCTTATCTTGAAGGGCAATAAGAAATGTCAGCTATCTATACTTTATCTTTTATCCTTTCAAACTGGGGCATAGTTCAAGATTTTCAGTCTTATGTCCTGCTATACTGGTGAGAAAGCCATCCTAGTGAGGTAAGAAGATAGGCATCATGTCCTTTTCTACTTGTTTCTTCTGCCTTCCGCATACCACACTACCGTTACTAATTTATCCTCATTAAGGTTTGCAGTAATAAATGTAGTCATAAATAATTGTTCTTTATGGGATAGGAGATACACCTTACTGGTAGACTGCTTGCTTAGCATGTGCAAGGTACTGAATTTTTTTTCCTGGCACCACAAAAAATTAAAAAATAACTTATGTAACTAAACTCTTTGGAAGTGGATACAATAAGTTTGGTAGTTCTTACAAGTTAAAAACAAATGGCATAATAGGGATGGAACTCTTTCCTGGTCCCGGAAACTCAGGCTTTACCTACATCTATTATTAATTTGCATATGACTTTATCATTGTCATTATTTCTGGAAGTCACCAAAACCCTAATTCTAGTTCCCCAGTATCCATCTCTAATAATTATCCAGGAATTTTTGCCCATCTTTCTCTCAATTTCTTTTGCTGTACATCTGTTGTGTCTTCCTTCAGCCTCCCACAGGCACTTGTGGACCTCTATGAGAATCTCTTAGTCTTCTTTGCTACAATTTCCACATTGCCCTCCCAACTGCTCATCCCCCTCTCCCTATAAACTTTAAATGGCAGCCCATTGCTGGTTTTTAAATACATAAATCTAGTCATTTACTTCAAGTGAGGTTTACTTTTCAATATGGGAGTAGATCATATCCTTTGTTAAAGGTAGAGTATCCCAGTTTAAGCACATTTTTGTAGATGTTCAAACAGTATAGAAATTTTAGGATTTTGTTTCAAGATATACAGTTATACAATTATCAAACTTATGTGTCTGATGTATCTTAGTTTTTACTAGTCCTCATTTATAAATATGAAACATTGGAGTTTTATTTTATTTTGCTATTGTTTGTTTTCTTAGTTTATAAATCTCCACAAATCTAATGTCTAAGGAAGTTGTTTCAGTGGTTCTCAGTGGGATACTCTTAGCACTGTGGGAGGAGGTTTGGCTGCATACGACTATCCTGGAAAAGACAGGAAGGATAGTTAGCAGCCCTAACACCCATGCATTAAATGACAACAATGACATATGTTTTCATATTATTCCAGGGGTGGCATGTGCCTGTGGAGAATCAATGAACTCTAATGTTGAAGGACAGTGATTTTCTTCTCAGTGACCCTTTATTTTATAGCATGATTTTATTTCTCAAATTCAGAAATATACACTATTCCATCTGTATGATGATGTTACTAACAAAAGCTGTTATTACTTGATTGTTGTCTCTTTTTCTCTCCCACAGTGGGCTCAGTGTGCTGCAGTTACGCAGGTCATCACACAAATTGCCGTGAATACTGTCAAGCCATTTTCCGAACAGACTCTTCTCCTGGCCCATCTCAGATCAAAGCAGTGGAAAATTATTGTGCCTCTATTAGTCCGCAATTAATACACTGTGTGAACAATTATACCCAGTCTTATCCAATGAGGAACCCAACAGATAGTAAGTAAAGGAGACATTCATCTCATTTCAATCTTTTGTAAAAGAGTTTATATGAAGAATATGGGGGGTTGGTGAGATAGCTCAGTAGAATAAACACTTGCCTGGCAAGTGCATGGTCCTGAGTTCAATCCCTGGTCTGCAAAAAAAAAAAAAAAAAAAAAGAAGAAGAATATGGTACATTCTTATATACACCTATGGTCTGAGTCACTTGGGAGATACCAAACTTCTTTTGGTGTTTAGATTTGGAAGATGAAAATTTTGTCATAGCAGGTGCCAAGAAAGATGGGAATGTCAAGAATATGAGGAAAGAGGACTGGTGAGATGGCTCAGTGGTCTAAAGCACCTACTTAGAACAAGCTTAGCAAAGCACAGGGACCACAGTTCAATCCCCCAGCACCACATGCCAGCCAGCCCCACCCCCTGGTGGGCTAAGCTGGCCACACACACACACACACATAAATAAAAAAAATTTTTTAATTAAAAAAAAAAGAATATGAGGAAAGAGAAATTCTCTATTTTAAGGGAAACAGAGTTTTTTGATGTAGGTATTTTGGGGAGAAGTTGAATAATGACCATTAAAACAAATTGTCATGTCTTTTGATCTAGAAACAGTATTTGTCAGAATTTAAACAGCAAGAAAAAAAAAAAAGAATTTAAACAGCAAGAAAACTTACTTCTGGCAAGTGCAAGGTCCTGAGTTTGATTCCTGGTACAAAAAAAAAGAAAGAAAACTTGCTCAAATTTGCAGAAATATGTTGCACATATTCCTATGAAGTTGTATAGCATAGAGACAAATTAGAAATAACTCAAACATTCATCAGTAAGATATTGACTAAAATTGATTAAATTATGAAATATTTATATAATAATGACACTTTATTTTTTTTTCTATTTCATAAAGATCTTTTATTGTCTCATTAAAATATCAGATTAGCTTTACAATCCAGAAGCTTGTTTCTGCGGCTGGATTAACTCTTGGATCTTACTCATCTGGCTGCTGAACTGTTCCCTTTTCAGAAACATAGATACCATCCAAAAATTTTCTGATATCCTTGTTTTTGACTGTTGTGGCTTGCTGAATCAAAGCAGCTGAATTTGAAACAAGCTCAATGTCATTTCCTTCAAGGATTAGTTCATCTTTCTGGGCTTGAGATACTGAGCAAGCAACACCTGCCCTCATACGAACTCGGTGAATGTATTTTTCACCCAAGAAATTCCGAATTTCAACGAGAGACCCATTCTCCTGAATAACGACGTTGATGGGGAAGTGAGCATACACAGACCTCATCTTGTAACAGAAGCCCAGTGTAACCCCCTTGATCATGTTCTGTACATGGCTACAGATCGTGCGGACAGTTGCCAACTCCTTTCTGTTTCCCCACCATTTGTCAACTCGGAGCCTCTTCTTTTTCTTCCCAAGGAGACTGAGTTCCACATTGATGTGGTTGAAGTCCCTCCGGAGGGTTCCTCTGGGGCCCTTCACAATAACTGTGCGTCCTTTCAGAGTGATGTCGACATTTTCTGGAATGTCGACTGTCTGATTGCTAAGAATGGTCTTCATTTTTGCAGGAGATGCGGCAAAGCAATAATGACACTTTAGAAACAACAAAAAAGAATACATTTATGTAAAAGAAGTCTAAGATATAGTAAGAAAAAAAGAAAGTTATAGAACCCAAATTACAGTGTGATACATTTTTTTAGCCATAAACCTAATTGTTCTATGTGATATATTTGTATAATGTTTCAGTTTTTACCAACAGCAGTTATTATCTTTATAATTTAAATAATGAAAAGAAATCTTTATTTTTTAATAATTTTTAAATATTATTTAAAAATAATATTATAACAGATTAGTTAACTTGCACAGATATATAGGCCCAATAGTGAACCTATATACCTTACAGAAATCTTTAAGGCCTCAACTTTGTACATCTGTTTTCTTCATCTCTTCCATAGTCAGATTTTAAAGAACTGAGTGATTAACCAAGTTAACAAAAGATTGATCTACAAGTCATGTGCCATTGTTTGACTTATTATATTGAGAAACTGAGAGACTTGTTTTTATAAACTCAAAAGCAGAGTGTCTTATTGAAATCAGAACCCTTTTGACTTTTTTTGTTTTGTTTTGTGGTACTAGGGATTGAACTCAGGACCCTGTACTTGCCAGACAAGCACTTATTCTACTGAGCTATCTCCTCAGGCCCTCTTTTGAGGGGTTGTAATGTAATGTAGCTGAGCAGTGAAAATCAGTGGATAAATGAATCATTTGCCGCAAACACCCTATTGTTGTTTAAAATGGAGCTCTGTATTTCCTGACAGAGGTTATGTGGAGCTAAGGAGTTAATAGCTGGGGGAGAGAGGTGTTGTTTTAACAAGAGCAACAGAGATCTCTAATGTCTATGTTAATGCAGAGGAATATGGAAAAGAAGGTTACAACCTTGAAAAGATTTCTTCAAAAATCTAAGACACCTGATAATACCTCCAAGGACCACTTCTGAATTGTATAGTCTGGTTGAAAGTGTTCTTTTTATTTTCTGCTTCTTTACAGAAATTAAAGGCAGAGGGCTTGGGTTTTAGCTCAGTGTTTGAGCATGTGCTTATTAGTATGTATAAAGCTCTAAGTTTGTCCCCAACACTAAAATGAGAAGCAAACCACAAGCATAAGCAAACCAATCTCTTGTCAGCTTGCTATTGTATTATTTAAATTATAACAGATTAGTTAACTTGCACAGATATATAAAAAGCTTTATTTTGTCTTGGAATATGATAGAACACAGTGTTTTTATTGCTATAAAAATCAATTAGGGCCGGCCAGATAGCTCAGACTAAAGTAACTGCTTAGGCAGGCGCGGGGACTGGCGTTCAATCCCCAGCATGCTGTGCTGGCCCCACACCCAGGGTGCACTGAAACTGGGTGTGGTGGCATACACCTGTCATCCTAGCACTTGGGAGGCTGAAAACTGGACGATCTCTATGAGTCCCATCTGTAGTGAGACCCCATAGATCCTGTACTAAAATATATTTTTAAAAATGAATTATTTTTCCTGTATCAATAACATAACCTCAGGCTACAGAGATAGCTCAGCAGTCTAAATGCCTGCCTAGGAAAGTGCAAGGACCCAGGTTCGATCCCCTGTACGACATAGCCTGCTGGCCCCACCCTGAGCACACAGCGCAGGCCACCAAGACTGGGTGTAGTGATGCATGTTTGTAATCCCAGTGCTGAGAAGGATGAAACAGGAGGATCACCATGAGTCTGAGCTGTGTAGTGAGACCCTGTACCATATATATAAATTTTTTTTTTAAAAAAAACCTTTTAGATATTTGTCACTAGCAGAAAATAAATTCACTTTGACCTATACAGTAATACCTTTTCTAAGAACATCAATACATAAAAACTTCTCTTTTACATGAGAACTTCTTAGATGTAGAATGACTATGCTTTTGTAAGAATAGTGCTAGAGGACCCATGACTGGGCAAAAGGTGAGTTCTGGTGATAGATATTTTGTTCACTTTAGCTCCTCACCTGTTTGCTACATGCAGGGTAATAAAGAGAGTATATAATACCCTATACTGCAGCTAGAGGTATCAAATAGGATTTCCACTGTACTGCCATGTTCTCTTCCGATCAAGGCATGATATAAAACTGCCTTTCATATTCTGAAAATGTAGGTTTATATTGCTGCGACAGAGCTGAAGACCATGCATGTCAAAATGCCTGCAAGAGAATTCTGATGTCAAAGAAAACAGAAATGGAGATTGTTGATGGTCTCATCGAGGGTTGTAAGACCCAACCCTTACCTCAGGATCCTCTTTGGCAGTGTTTTCTTGAAAGCTCACAATCTGTCCACCCTGGAGTCACTGTGCACCCTCCTCCCTCTACTGGCCTTGATGGAGCTAAATTGCATTGTTGTTCTAAAGCAAACACTTCAACATGTAGGTCAGTATCTCATCTTCCTTTATTAAAAATCAGTTTAAAAATGTCATTTTAAGTTTAGCAAATGTGTGGTGTATTCTTTCATTGTGTAGGCTTAGTGTTCAGAAGATGAAAAATCTTTCTTAGAGATGAGATTAGCTTACCTAGT